AGACTCTCAAATGCATATCTCACATGTCTGTCAACAGTTGAAAACTGCATAGTGCACCCTACTATAATTTCATACTATATGCACTCTGTAACTGGTACTACCCATTGAGACTGAATGTCATATGATGTCTACAACATCTGACAGCTATTCAATGAATGGTAAGGCCTGAATTATATTATCATGATCTATGAGCATAGAATCAAGCTGTGAACAATATCCATTCAATTTGAAGCCAAATGCGAAGCAATTGTGTCTACAGGTTTGATGAGCTACTACTCCTTCCATATCTCATGTGCTGGAGCACCTGGCCCACACATTGTATCATACATCACCAGTAGTCTCCTGTCATGCAGATGAACAAAAGACTACAGAAATCCTAGGATCTAACGATCTAATTATCGCCAGATGAGATCACATAGTTGGTACATCATATATGCACTCAGTTACCACTTTGGTGCAAGTCATTTCCTATCCTATCAATGGCTACAGCCAATACTCCTGTGATCTGAATGGTCTGGGATGGCAGTGTCGGCATGTATGTCATGGATTGCCAAAAGACCGGCAGCATTGGCAGCTTCTGCACCCATGGACTCGCATTGACAGTCACTGCGTGAAGCGCGTTTGGACCGGCATCGGATCAGGATGCCTGTCCCCACAGAGTATCGCGTAGAATGGCGTAACTTGTTGAGCACATCTGTAACAATGAGGATCAGGCAATGAGCCGTGAGAGACCATCGTGTGCAGGGATCAGATGCGAATCGCGCGTGTATCATCATGTAGTCAGTCTTGGATCTTAACACCATGCTACATGGGCGATAGCCAACCCTTGATACCTACCGCTACTTGCGTATCAATGTGTAACTGCCATCCAGTTCCACTCGGTCGAGAGTGCGTGCACTTGATGGCTTTGATCTTCGGTTCTGCCCATGCACTACTTAAGAACTCCTGCTGGAACACCGCCTCGTACATCCTCCCCTCTTGCCACAATGCCAGTCTCTGTCCGGTCTCAGGATCTCGGCGTGCGCACCCAGATTGACCGCTGGCTGGAGGCCAACGAAAATCCACTACCCAGACTTGATGCGAGTCTTCTCATCACTCACATTATGCCGGAGACAGTGGACGTTCGCATCGAGATGATCTCGCAACAGGTGCGTCATACCAGCCTAACCATGCCTTTGATTCTGATCAAATTCCTAGGCTCGCCATCCTCTAGATGTTCGTGACCCATTTGAGGTCACTCCCTCATTTGTCGCCCTCATCATCTCTGTCCACTTCCCTACGTCCGCCTCCTTGCCTCCGCGGCTCCTTAACAGCCCACCCGGTCTACTGGAAACATGGAAGGGAAAGCGGTTAGAGCCCGACGCACCCCGCTGGGCCCACAGAATGCAAGTCGGGGATGTTCAGCGCTTCTCGCAACCCCGCTCTACCGTCCCAGACTTCTTTGCGGAACTTGCGAAGTCTTACATGAACATATCTGAGGTGCGTTACTGATTCAGCTTTATCATTTGACTCACTAACAGTGCATCATGAAGGGTTACTCACCTGCCATGCTGCGCTGGGCCAGTGACGTTGCAGTGCGTTCACCGCATCTGCCTCCTGAATCCGCTCACTGAATCGGCTCATTACAGGCTGTTCGTTCGGCTCGACGAGAGGTTATGCAGAGTCCCTTCGAGGTTGAGAACCGCAGTATTCCGTTGCGCCGCTCTTCGCGCTTCATAGAGAGTGAGTTTGAAGGACAGGGCGAGCTCTCGAGGGTTCGACGCCGCTATGCTTATCCTTGTGGCATAGGTAGGGTTATTCCCTCGAAAAGGGCGCCTGCTTTGTAAACGCACACGTACATCTATGGGGTAGCAATAAAATGAGCTGATATAGTGAATGGTACATGAAGTCTATCTTAATATAAGCTAGAACCCCAATGGTTCTCAGTCTCGTCGAACACTCGTAACTCCTTGTCAGTGTGAAACACGAGTGACGCTCGCCTGCCTTGAAAGTGCAAGTTGAAGTGGGTCGTCTCAGAAGAACGAAATATGACGAGATCGCCCGAGCGCAAAGGTATGACCAGGCCCTGCTCATAGAAGCACAACTCACCCCCTACATAATCTCCAAGCGCGGAGACCATGCACAGGCGTAAGTCCCGGTCGCGATGCCCTTGCGTCAAGCAGTTGATATTGATCACCAAACCAGCGAACGGTGCTGTTGGAGACCAGTGAAACCCGGGCAGGTTCTCGATGGATATTTGCATTTCGCGCATCTCGTCGGGGAGGTAGTGATGGAACTATAAGGTCTTCAGTAAACTTGTAGGGATAGCAGAGGGAGCTTCACGTACAGTTTCCTCACACCATTCAAAGAAGTCTTGTAAGACGACTTGAAGCCGGAGATAGAGTTCTTGAAACTCGCGCATGTCAGATGAGTTGTAGGGCAGCATCTGCGACCAGTTGGTCTTGACGCCAATACGTTCCCACTTTTCGGGATTGATACCAGGAGGAGCGTCCTTTCCCTAGGCAAGTAGATGAATATTAGATAAGATATGGAATCAATAGGGTAAACATTCACCGTGGTTGCGTGTCGGTTGTATATGGAGAAATGCCAAACGAGGTAAGAAAAGAACTCCATGTGTTCCTCAGCGGTGTTGATGTTCATGATGGCGGCGGTGTCAGCAAGAGAGATCTGTAAAGTCTGGAATAGATTGATGCGCAACCAATCCTCCATGGCGCGGCAGACAAACACCAACAGGGTACCGTCGGAGTTATCCAACCGCAACACATCGCTAGTTAACAGTTAAGACAATAGTCTTTGACAAACAATGAAGAGCACTCACCCAGACACATGCGCAGGAATAGAGATGTACGCATCACGATCCTTTCGGGCACCATCTTCTCCATAGTGCTCAGACAGCTGCGCTCAATCAGTGCATGACCACCCAGACTTGCAAAGTAAACTGACCAGAGATTGAAGATGTTCAAAGTTGCTAGGAACCTTGGCTTCATCGGCCAAGGTACGCTGATCTTCAGTCCAGGCATCAGCTTGTGCCCGATTGGATGGTACTGGGTGCTTTCGATTAGATGGCAGGTCACGGTTATAATTGGTTTGAATGTGCTTTATGGGCGGAAACGAGCGGGCTATATACAAAGACCACAGTAAACAATCAGGGAAGGACATTCATGACGGAAGAGAACTGATACACGTACGTTCAGCAGGAGGTAACTTGAAAGAGGATCCAGCAGGTACCTGGGTCCAAGCCGTTGAGGTGTCGATAACGCGCTGTGCGCTCACACTCAAAGACAGCACAGGGTTCCATAACTGCTGGTTGCGGTCTTCTATCTTGAAATCCCTATGTCGACTGGTCAGCGATGTACACGAACATGCACCTAGGTGTAACTAGTACTTGAAGCGTACGAGGCGTATCATGTCATCAGTTTCAGCCAGCGTCGAGAGCATCTGGAAGCCTCTGAAGACCTGGGGAAGCCTCCAGACAGCCACCATTGTAGTCTGAACATGTAAGATAGCCGGGATGATACGCCCCTTGATGGGCCTAATGAACTCCGAGCCTAATCGAACCATGAGTACCAAGCCTTGGCTATTGATCAGAAACCGCACCTGTCGCGGGCGCCCGAACCACATCTGCAAATTTCCTGGGCACAGGGACTTGCATAGCGTCCACGAACGCCTTTAGTTGCAAGCCTGCTACGATCACCAAACCACAAATCCCAACTAGAGAGCGTTAGACTGGTTGTATATGCATATCATATTGGAATAATCACCACCGGCAATGATACTGAGATATTTCAGACCCCTTGTGTGAAGGTGTCGAAAGCGCCTCAAGTCTACAACCTGGTCGACACTGGCTCCAGCCGGCAGCTCAGAACGAAGAGCTCGGTAAACTTTTGACACCTTCAGCTTTGAGGTGGGCGCGGAGAAAGTCTCATGGTATCTGTGTGAGCAGTTGTGAGTGTCTGGTACCCGAGTAATGCACAGGAGGGCGTACTGTTGACAAAACAAAACCACTTCGGCCGCAGATACCATATAGTAGAACTGAGCCGCCACACCAACTTCCTTGGAGCGCTGGCATCGATCATAAGCGCGTTGTATGGCGAGCGCCTGGATGGAGGCGGTGCTTGAGATGATTTCTCCTGGGTCGGAGGCCACAGAGAGAATGGCCTCGACGAACCGATCTAGGCGCGCGTGGCTGACATTGGCCATGTTGTTCAGAAGGTGAGCGGCCTTGTGAGGGACACGTTGATTCCCGCCGCCTTCGATGAGATGCCACTCGGCTTGCATGACAGCCCGTGCTCTGGCACCCTTGCCCTTCGAGTTCTTAGCGTCCTTGCCTTTGCGAGGACAAGGAGGCTTGCCGCCTGGAGGTGGTATGGCAACCCCACCTGGGACATAATCATCGTCGTCGTCGTCATCATCGTCGTCGTCGGTTTCTGTACCGGGGGCATAATCATCATCTTCTTCGTCATCTTCGTCTTCGTCGTCGCCGTCGCCATTGCCACCACCTGCTTCCTCTTCATCATCGTCATCCCGGTCCGCGCCACCTCCCGCAGAACCAAACATCCTGTCATCCTCATCTCCGTCGCCTTCATCCTCGTCGTCTTCTTCGTCATCTTCGTCACGACCATCACCACCACCTAGATGCAGTTAGAATTACGGTTCATTCGAGGAACACAAAAACACATACCTTGAATGCTCTGGGCTATATGATCGAGATTTTGAAAGGCCGGTGGCACTGGCGGTGAGCTGGAGCCGGCCGCTCGATACAAGAACGAATCAGGAGACGAGTCAATTGACATAGAATGGCGAGGCGTGGACGGCCGCTGCAGCCCATCGATAGTTCGGTTGAAGAAGCCATCTGGCGAGGACGACGGGTGAGCTTCGAACGGTCGAAGCTCTGGTGAGGAAACGGGTGTGTGGTTCATGTCCTCGTCCTCGTCGGTGACGGATTGCATCTCCTCGTCTGAACCGGCGGCAGTAATGAGTTCGGCGGCGTGAAACTGCTCGAGAGTCTTAAAGAGAGCGCCATCTCGGTCGAGGCCATTCATAAAGCCTGGGATGGCTAGCATAGCTCGTAGTTCATTGTCAGATATGTTGATAGGCCGGGACCCAGACGACATGATGGTCGACGAAGACGAACGACTCGCCGCGTCCTCGTTGCGGAAAGGCAAGCGACGCGTCTTTCTCACGTTTTGACGGCTCTTGTAAACAGCGTCGACGCGTCTACCTGCGACGCGCGAACCGTTCAGCTATTTGCGAGCATTTAACTCATTTCGTTCTCCCTTGCACCGGGGCTACGTATATGTACAGGATAAAAGGTGACAGGCCCACGACAACCACTAGTCCATCTCTCCCGGTCCTGACGGCTACACAGAGCCTCGACGTGCGCGGCAACGTGCAAAAACGCACCAGGCCTTATGCCTAATCCTCGTTTCCCGCTTGCACACAAGGCCTCGACTTGACGAGGCCCGGATTTGCGCGTATCTCCCGTCGTCTGCGCGCGCGCGCGCGAGCTCTTGGAGCAGGTGGTGTGTAGGGAAGTATTTGATGCGGGGGTGGGTAGTGTACGCAATAACGAGGGAGTGCTGAGACGGCGAGCGGAGGTCGGCCGTCGGCGAGGAGGTGTGGCGGTTGTGGTACAAGTCTCCGCTCGTCGCGTCGGCGCGGTTGAGACGTTCGTTCCCACGCGCGCTCGCCGTTTACATTTCGCGTCAAAGTCGTCGACGCGACTTGCTCGCGACGACCATGACGGCAGACATCCTCCCCGGCGATCGAGATGCTACATCTTCCAGCCTTCTCGTACCGTCGTGCTGGCGTACGGCACAGACGAAGAGAGTGGCGGCACATACGTGCGTACCTGTGTCCACGACTCTCGATAGCGACGGCTGATTATCGTGCAGGGCGCGGGTGCTATTGCCGAACCTATGCTCGAATGGTACGGGAAGAACGCGTTTGAATTCGCGGCGCGCTCGTTATGGGTTGGCAGTGCGTTAATGTACTGTTCGATATCTTGGAGGATTGAGTCTCACCCATGTGGCTTCTCGCAGATTGTGGACTGCGTTTGACTTGTTCTTGGGTTACGCTGCAAACGAACACCGGCGCAATTGCGTGGCGCTTGCAACTCGGCTCGGCCTTCATCCCGGCCGTTCCCTCGCTTGCGGTATCCTGTCTTGCCCGGAGTCACCTCGTTGGCTTATCAGTGCGTTCCTGCTCACCGTATACCGCTGGGGCGAAACTGATAAACTATACAGAGAAGGGCCTCTACCTCGCCGCGTATAAGTCGTTGCTGAAGCTTCGTCGCCACAAGATCTAGGCGACGCGTGACCTTTACTGCATGTCCGTTCAGATCGCCGAGGAGCAGAAGGTCATCCGTGCCGCCACTTTCTTCGCCCGCGCTATGGAACTCTTCGCCAACCCTCGCGTCCGTCGCGCCACCGTTGCCTCTGGTGTCGTCATGCTTGTCCAGCAGATGTCCGGTATCAACATCATCGCCCTCTACTCGTCTAGTGCATTCGCGAACGCCGGCTAATCTGTACGCAGCGCTCTCTACGCCTCGCTCGGGTTCGGTGCAGTGAACTTCGCCTTTGCCTGGCCCGCTATCTTTACCCTCGATACGTTCGGCCGTCGTACTGTCCGGCTCTTCACGTTCCCGCAAATGACCTAGTCACTTCTCGCAGCCGGCCTCCGCTTCCTCATCAGGCCATCCACCAGCACCACCGCTCTCGTCGCGTTCTCCATCGACCTGTTCGCGGCGCTCTACTCGCCCGGTGAGGGCCCGTACCGTTCACGTACTCCGTAACCCCGCCTTCCACCCAGAAACACGAACGCGCGACACGAGCCGTTCCCCTCATCACCTCGCGCCATACCTCAACATGCTGTCCGCCCCCATATAATTATCGGAGCACATTTAAACGCCCTATGCGGCCTTGTGCTGCACAATCTTGTACCGCGATGTGTCGAGTCGCGCCCAACGTGCGCCTCCCGCTCAGCGCGCTCGCCTGCCATCAACTCCGCACTCGCGTGTGCCACTCGCGCTTGACGCGTTCATCTCCCGTGGTCCCGGCCTTCGCGCAGTGTATAGAATGCGCTCGCGGACTATTATGCGTATGCTGCGGAACGCTACCGGATTGCCTCGTGCACGGCGGCCCGCTCTATCGTTCCCTGCAGTGCGGCGACCGCCCGCAGACCCGTGCGCGTCTCAATGGCGGCGTATCCGTCGTCGTCTTGCCAGCAACACCACCTCGCATTCCTCCAGTCCCGCCTTCAATGCACGTCGCAGCTGCTACAGCTGCAGCTGCGAGCGCGTGGCCAGTATTCATCCGGTCAATCATGCAAGACGGCCACTGCGAAGCGTCTCGCCAGCGACGACTGTCTATTGGACGAGGAAGACAGAGAAGAAGACGATGCCCTACCTGTCCTCGGTATCGCACCCATCGCAGCCCGAGATATCGCACCGCTACCGAAGTGCGTAAACGCATGCCACCGAGTGCAGCCAGTACGAGAAGATCAGCTGGGCGCGCGACCAAGCCATTTAAATGCAGTACGACTGGCCGTCAGCTCAAGATGCATGGCACTTTGTAAGCGCCGACGCGCCGCCTTTGAGCACATTTCCCACGCTCGACGTCGTTTCCAAAAGCCGTCAAAGTTGCCGAAGGGCTGATTCGCGACGAGCTCGCGTCCACCATCTATATGACCCGCATGACCTTTCCTGTATCCACCCTTCTTGTAATAATTAGTACATTTGATACCCCTACCGTATAGTCTGTAGCAATCAACCGACCCTGCTGTTACATGCTTGTATGTGTGGGATTGTACTCGTGCTACATCGTGATACACCAATCCCTGCCACGCGTCGGACTTGTGTCATTTCCGCCTTGCTTCTTCCCTCCACCTCCGTCTCGCTAATCCGCAATGCCAACATAGCCGTGAGGCCTACTGCGTATGCTCTCCGGTTGTCAACTATTGAGTGAGGGCTGACCCGTATTCTAGACATGCCCCCCTGCTACTGCCGAACGTACTCGTGCAATGGCGCGACGCAGGCCAAGTCCACTCGCAAGGACCATCTCAGGAAGGATGAAGCCGCCGACCGTGCGGCTGCGCTGGCTGCTCTCATCGCTCAGAACTCTCGAGCCGCCACATCCTCATCCGCCATTCCGCCATCTCACCCGGTGCAAGCTTCTCTCGGACAAGAGGACCGAGCACAGGACTTCCTGTCATCTGATTCAACACATACATTCCAAGACCCACCAAGCCCTCTGGAGCGTGGCATGTCTGCCGCCGAACAACATGCGGAGCGGGACGCCCGTCTAGAGGCCGAGGAACGGGGCCGAGCCCATATAGCCCGAGCTCGCGCTTCAGACAATGCCCCTACAGCCGAGGACGACATTGGGAGCCCAGCGGATGAGGATGATGAGGAGGACGAGATTGAGGAGCGGGAAGGGGAGGGAGGGGCTGGTTCGGATGCGTCAATTGCGCGTACACCCCCTACACGTCCGGAACCGCCAACCTCCGCAGGGCGGGATCAACCATCTGAGCGTATTACCTGCGACCCTCGATATCCGGGCGAGAACGACGTTGACCCCTTCATGCCAAAGGAGGCGACAACGCAAGCTCGGGAGTCCCTGTCACCTCAGGGTTCTGGCGGCGAGCGAGCGCGCTATCTCTTGTATCTGTTCGTGGCCTGGCTGCACACCCAGAGCAAGGTTGCCTTCAAGGCCTGTGCGGCAGCCTTGATAGTCATTGCACAGATCGTAGTCCTTGCTGGTGGGACGTTTGAGGATGTCCGCTCCCCATTCCGCAGTCTGCCCTCCGTTCTCAACGCCTTGAATATCGAACCGGAGTTCAGTGTGCTACCGACATGTCCCAAATGCCTCGAACCCCACCCTGCAGATCACCCTCGCACTGGAGACCTGTCCGTCTGCGCTCGTTGTCGTACACCCCTCTTCCAATCAAAGCGACGACATAATCAGCATCGAGCCGCAGACAGCAAGGTTCATCAACCTGCGCTACAATTCCCTCACAAGTCGATTGAATCTCAACTCCGGAACATCATTCCTCACGTCGAGGACGATCTAGATGCCTGGCGCCGCAAAGAACGTACAGCCGGAAAGTACATAGATGGCTTTGATGGACGTATTCCCTGCACTCTAGCGGCGCCCAATGGTGTCCCCGGCCCTTTCTTTGTCAACCCGCTACCTGCGTCTGTGGATGGTTCAGCACCAGAACTCCGGATCGGTCTGACAGGCGGCTTGGATTGGTGAGACGAGTGGTGATCATCCTTCTGTGAGAAGTACTTACATCGCACACAGGTTCTCCTATCTCCGGAGCTTGATATCTGCTTCGCATTCATCCGGGCCAATATCTTTCAACATCATAAACCTTCTCGATCCACAGAGGTATGTCGCTTGGCTCTATGCGAGTTAGCTCACCGCTCATCAGATATCGACAGATACAGGGTCATGAATCTCGTCATTGGGGGCATCTTACCTGGCCCCAAAGAGCAAAACACCGATGAAGTTCAGCGCTTCATGCGCATCTTCGTGAATGAGCTGCTTCGCCTATGGCAAGATGGGTTTGTCATGGAGACCCCTCGATACCCTGGAGGGCGCTTAGTGAGAGTCATCCTAATCTGCATCATCTGCGACAAGCCTGCGGCGCACAAGGTCGGCGGTTTTGGATCTCATAGCCACACCTTCTTCTGCACGAGATGCTGGATACGTCAATCGGACAAAGCAACTGCCGCCGCTTTCAGAGCAGGAGGTGTGTTGAATGACTGATTCCTCCGATCCCCTACTGAACGTTCAACAGCGTTCGCTCCCCGATCTCATGAAGAGCATGTACGACTCATGCAGGAATATGCCCGCTGCGCCTCCCAGACAGCACGAGATGAGTTTGTGAAGAAGTACGCGACACGCTGGTCGGAGTTGGCTCGCCTCCCATACTTTGACATCTGCCGCATGATCGTCATAGATCCCATGCATAATCTCTTACTCGGTGCGCTGTGTATAGCTCTCAAACGCTTCCATAGCTCATCAAAGTGGCAGGCCTCGTCAAGACTCACTTCTATCACATCTGGGTTCAGCTCAAGGTCTTGCGCAAGACCAAGGAGCTTCGACGCTTTCACGATATCTTATCTCAGGTATGTATGGCGCATCAGTATCTCTCACCGCCATATACCCATGCCATCACAGATGCAAATACCGGGATACCTCGGGCGCCTTCCATCGCTTATGGGCATACCTGCGGGCGGTTCACTCACAGCTGACCAATGGCTGATTGCGGCCCTCATAGTGCTCCCAATTGCCGTGAGTAACATAGCTCTTGATGTTGCTGGGCGACAGAGCAGCTGACAGATCTCAACAGCTACCGCAGATCTGGGACGAGTACTGTACCGGCGATCCGGAGATTGTGCGCCTCCAACGTATGAAGGACTTTGAGGCGTTGGCGGAGAAGCAAAAGGCCGCAAGGGCAGCTGCGAGGAAAGAGCGCGAAGCTGCTAAAGTGGCTGCTTCCGCCAATGTGCGGCAGTCCACTCGAGTGCGGAAGAAGACCAAACGTGCGCAGGTATTTGCTTACCTACCACTTCTAACTGCCCTTGCGCTAATGTGAGACTAGTGGGTTGATGACGTTCCAGAGGAGGATAGGGCGTATGATGAAGCACACGGAGAGGAGGGCGCGCGTGAAATTACTCGGGATATCTATGCCGAAGAGGAAGGTTCTGCAGACGAGGACGACCAGCGCGCCCATCCTAACCTTCATCCCGACGACCCTGCGAACTTTGCAAAATTGACAGAGTTTCTAGTTCTTGTCCTGGGAGATGAAGTAACCGACGCTGAGATTGACAAGGCCGACCGTCTCATACGGGAGTATTGCTCCGAGCTCATTCATGTAAGCTCTCATGTCATTGCGCTTGTCTGACGCTGATAGCTTGTAGCTCTATGGTCCAGACATTATCCGACCAAATCACCACTATTCCACATACGTCGCGGAGTGCATGCGAGACTTTGGTCCTCTTCGCAACTTCTGGACGTTCCTCTTTGAGCGCATCAACAAGATACTCAAGAGCTACAACAGCGCCAATCATTCCGGTGGAGAACTTGAGGTGTCATTCTTCCGAGAGTTTCACCGCACCGTACAACAATCAAGAGCGGTGCGTCATTGGGCATGTAAATGCCTGTCTTGTACCAACTCATTTCATACCCACAGCTTGCAACGGCTCGCCTCAGTGGTGATCCATGCATTGCTTTAAGTGTTGACGCCATGTATCTCGCCACAGCAGATGATCGCGGTACTGTGCAAGCGCTCTCCAGAGAGATGGATGAGCAGGCCGAGGACGGTAAGTGAAGACAGAATCCCTCTATATGCTCGGCGCTAACACTTGGTGCGCTAGGTGGTGTGATATACGCACTCTCGATGCGGTCGGTAAAGGGTGTCCTCATGCCTGACTTATATAGCCAGGTCCTCGCACATCTGCAGCTGCGCCTGCCTGTCTCAGTACGCTCCGATATCGTCCTTGGGCCGGCCACTGCCCTTCGCAGGGAGGTCACTTTCTTCGATTATGCCGTGATCTTCCAGAGGCGTTACTGGGCTTCTTCGAGAACAAACAGCCGGGCAAATGCGCTTATCGCCGTAGCTGCTGAACATGGCCAGTATACAGTTGGAGAGCTCACTACCATCATTGGCATATCTCAGCCTGAGCTCCCTCTCATACGACTCGGACATGTTCGATGGCTCGTGCGTGCGCCGGCTGACGTCTCAACAGACAGTCGATGGAAAGCAATGTATGTGTGTCCTGTTACTCCTGACGCTACACTACTGAATCTGTACAGTCTCAACTACCGTGTTTGCCTCTGGTTACCCGACGAATACGCCGCCGAGACCAGTCTCATTCAACTTGATGAAATACTAGGTCATGTTGTGATCACCGACGCAAGAGTCGATGGTGTCCGGAGATGGGTATCAATCATCGCTACGCGGGTATGTAGCCCCTCAATCTGACATATGCTGCTGCTGAACATGAGTAGAATGGGTCCTTCCGCACTGGCGCTGTATGATAGTAGTCCCTCTTGACTTCCATGTGCGCATATAGTATACGCTGCTCGCTCTATAACAGAAGGTTGGGCATATACAGACAGTGAGTTCAATCTTTTGCTTGGGATATATGCATGGTCACTCATGAAACTACTCTACTCATACAGACGACATCTCTTGACCAAGCCACACACGGTCCAGCGCCTCAGAAAACTCATCCTTAAGATCCAGACGGAGACAGGAGACAGCGTCGGTAGTTTCCGCGAACGTCTCCAAACATGCAGTCTCCTCAATCCATGCGCTGCTCACCAGTTCCTTATACACTACCGGGTTTTTGTCCGTCTTCTCCGGAGAGCCTTGCATGATGTTGACCGCCAAACCCGGAAACATGAAGTTATTGTTCTTCATCTTGCCCTGCTGGCGACGTAGCTTGATGAGAAGCGCCTGAAGCTGGATGAGCTAGTTGCACGGTCAGTCCCAACTACAATCAGAGGTACCTCGTTGACGCACCTTCTCAGACTTCCAAGCATACTCCCGCACTTCCCAACCAGGTACCTCAAGTCCACCCCCGCAAGCAACCTTACGCGCATTCCAGTCTTCTGCCGTGGCCTTCCCATAATCGCCGTATGCCAAGCCATACCACTTGCTCTCCAGAAGAACGAGTTCAAGACCGTGCGTGTAGTCGCGGCCATACTTCTCACTGATATAGTTGATAAGAGCAGGCATAGCTTCGCCCAATTGTTCAACCCACTATGAAATTGGTGAGCGGTCTTGACATCATGTTTGACAAGATGAGTGCTTACACGGTCACGGCGCTGGTTCATCATGTGGTTGAACCTACGCTGCTCCTCCTTAGCCATCCGAGCTGGGTCGGTTTGCGTGCGCCAGCGGTGTGCCAAATGGTTGTAGTAAGTAGTGACTGCCGCTCTCTTATCTTTGTCGGCCAACGCTAACCACTCTTTCTAGAGTTATTTGTCACCATCAAGTAATCGAGAGTCTCTGACCGCCAATCTTACCTCCTTATTTTGATCAAGGATAGCTATAACGTGATCAAAGGTCTTTGTGTTGTTGCCCTCGTTGGCACCCACGGAGAAGTCGATGCCCCACGAACCGCCCTCCTCTAATGGTTCAACGGACCCATCCTCGCGAGCGCTAGGAAGTTCCAGGTTCCTAGGGTTCTTGCCTCGAGCTGGGCATCCTATCGTTTTGAGCCACGCTGGGTGAACAAGACTCTGATCAACGAGTAAGCACACATGATACGAACGTCTAAGAGAAAAAGATACTCACTTCAATGACAGTGGCCCGCGCAGTATTCTTCCCTTTCTTCTTCTCCGTCTTTCCACCGACCTTTCCCTCCTCGGACGTCTGAGCTTCTTCCAGCGCAACCTTTGCTGCCTTTGCCTCTGCCGCCGCCGCTTCCGCCACAGCACGAATGGCCTTGTTCTCTTCAGTGAGTGTCTTAATGTTGTCACTATTGGCCTTGACACGATCATTGAGCGCCTGCAAGAACGACAGCGGCACAGAGACATTATCGCCGGCACCAAAACCCGCTCCGCCCAACATGTGGTACCCTCCAGAAGCAGATGCGTATTGTTGCCTCGAGATACCTGCCGCTGGCCTGCCACCCATCGAGGGATTGAGCTGCTAGACTCAAAGTCAGTGACCGCATACATCAACTATTGAATACAACTGATGCGCACCGAAGGTCTATCAAACCTATCGAACATCATTACCTCCCTGAATGGGTCGCCTGTGATATCAAGGTATGACTGCTGGTGGTCCGTACCCTGTATGACCCATACATATTTCATGAGATCTTGACAGACACTGATGACTGGCAATTACAGACCTGGGAACCGTCACCTCCTTGATACTGCTGTAGCAGAGCGTCAAGATTGGGCATGTTCCCTTCAGAGTTGGCGTCATTGCCCATTGAAAGGGTCGGACGGCTTGGGGTCGGCGAAGCGTATTGATAAGATGAGTCCATGGTGAGCTAGCCGTCTTTCCTGACGACGTCCGCATGCTCTTTATATATCCATGACCTGGATCTGAATATCTTCATAGGGTATTTTGGCTTCCGCACCCCTCGATCCCGATCACTGGCGCCGGAGCTGTACGCAAAGGCAAGGGAGCAGATAGTGAGGCCTGAGGAGGTATGGTACTACTGGTTGATGTTCGCGCACACTACCTGTTTGTTATACAGCACCTCCTCTATCCTACAGCCAGTCATTATCTTGGCCGCCAATGTGTATGCAGGATCTCCTGCACAGTACTGTACCATTTGTAGATAATAGGATGTCAGGGATCCGGAATGGATCCTTCTTGGATCAGTATGCCTGTACCTCATGGATTACTGCATAGCGCCACCTAATAGGTGGCGGATCAGGCATGTATCATGGCCATGGATCCCGAGGGATCTCCATGGAAGCGATATGAAGATCTAAGCTACCGACTCGGATCGGGTGCGTAGCATGGCCGTGATCCAGTGTGTATACCAATGTAGCACGATCTTCTACACCGCGGAGCAGGTATAGAGATCCGTGCATAGTCTCTTGTAGCATCCCGGATGTCGAGTCAGATCGGTGGATATCCGCGCACGATACATCAAGTATCAGTCTGCAGTTACGAGCCCGTTAAGGGTCGGTCCAGGCTCGTAACGGACAAGGATCTGCATGGTGATCGAAGTCTGCTACATTGCTTGTACATCTTGTACCGGCACTCGTAGTAGGACCTGATCCGAGGGCATTTCACGCAGTGAGTATAGAACATAGCTTGTTTGATCACTTGCACTACTGCTAGAGCTGACTGTCTACACCTGCTAACCATACAGCAACCAACTATGTAGCTATCAATCATGTAGCTGTCAATCATGTAGCTGTCAATCATGTAGCTGCCGGCCCTGTTGCTGCTGCCGGCCCTGTTGCTGCTGCCAACCCTGTCACTGCTGCCGGCCCTGCCACTGCTGCCGGCCCTGCTACTGCTGCCAACCCTGTAGCAGGTGCCGACCCTGTAGCTGCTGGTTATACAGCTGCCGGCCATATAGAGCAGCTACTGCTGACAACGTAGAGCTGTAGGTGCCGACATGTTAGGGCGGCAGCTATTGATTCCATAGAGTAGCAGGTGCCGATCCCATAGGGTAGCAGCTGCCGATCTCATGAAGTAGCAGGTGCCGACACCATAGAGCAGCTGCTGCCGACATCATAGAGCAGCTGCCGATGTTTTCAGGCTACAGCTGCCAGTCTCATACCTCAGCTGCTGCCAATCATGTAAAGCGGCATTTGATCATATGGCCATGGACAATGGAGAGCAGAAACCACCAGTAATGAAGAGTAGCTACTGCCGACAGTGTAGAGAAGCTGCTGCCGATGGTGTAGAGCAGCTGCCGACGTTTTGGAGCTAGAGCTGCCGACGTTTTTGGGCTAGAGCTGCCAATCCCATATAGACAGCTGCTACCAACCATAGAGAGCAGGTTCTGGTAGTATAGCTATTGACAATGTAGAGAGGCTACTACCCACAATGAAGAGTGGCTACTGTCAATGCTATAGACCTGCTGCCGATGCTGCCGACGTTTTGAAGCTGCAGCTGCCGATCCCAGATCTATAGCCACTGATCCACCAGAACAAACGGCTAATACTGAGGGAATGGCTCGCTGTACTGCTACATCTGCTTGATACTAGCTTCAGTCATGTCAAAGGTGGCTGTAGATGCTACAGAGGTACATGTGGGATCATTGGATACAGTACAACCGGCAGCACCGGCAGCATCGGCACCTAATTGACAGAGGTTTATTGGGATGCCGAACCTGCCGAACCTGTCAGACCTGCCGAACCTACCGGCACCTCTATATAATGTACTGTTTATAGACTACTGATAGCCTATACTGCTACTAGTATAGTACACACTGACAGTATATCAGTACACACGGTATTTGAATATATTTTTTCGGCAGCATCGGCAGCACATTTTGGCCCCCACATTCGGCCTGCCGACTGCCGAAGGTGCCAGTACCCCCAGTATTGTATCATTCATGGTANCCTACTACATTTGGTCTACCCCAGTACTTTATCTACCAAATCGGCACCTTCGGCACCTTCGGCACCTTCGGCACCGTCGGCCCCTGCCACTGCTCTAGGGACTTAGAGCCTGCGTCTGTGCGGATCCGCATCTGCGATCTCAACGATGCCGGACGGCATCCGCACTGCCGATGAAATTGCAGAGGTGCAGCGGAATTATATGGACAAGAGAAGGGTGTATAAGCAGGCCGAGTCATACATGTACTGTGTGAGCCATGCGAGTCCGAAGTCTGTGTGCCGGGATGCCGAGATGCCGAGATGCCGAGTCGGAACAGAGAACATCCGGAAATACATGAAATTGACTGTCCACACCAACGGTTTCAGCCGCCTTACTCTCAAACGTAGAACGGCTGAACCTTGTCATGTGTCAGGTGGGCTCCAGCCGCTCCATTCCCGGGAGGAGAGCGGCTAAAAGATGACATGTTGATAGGGGAGCTTCAGCCGTCTAGGTCCAATATGGAGAGCGGCTGAAAGGTGACACATTGGTAGGGGAGCTTCAGCCGTCTAGGTCCAATATGGAGAGCGGCCGAACCATGGAAGAGGCTCCATATACACCTGATCCAAAAATGAGAGCCCCCCATGATCCTTGTCAGCCTCTCAGCCTCGCATGTGCTCAAAGGCTTCCTGAGGCCTCCTCACAGGCCCAAAGCCTAATTAGACCATCCATATTCACCCCCAGTGAGAACCTCATCTAGATTTGTCCAGTGATGGCTAGTTAAGTCAAGCGGTGTCCAGCGGCAATCGGCATCTGATTCGCCATGTAGTAGTCTCTAATCACAGCTAGACGTGCCACCGCCCTTGCCCATGGTACACCCCTAGTGATATCCGGTATCTAGTTTACAAGAATGCCATCACATTTTTGTGGCCGACAGTGACTACACCGTATAGTACACACATCGTGTGCTCCTCACATTGGAACTTGTATCTTGTTCACTACTTGCTAGGGTTTTCTCGGGACGGAGCCCATCTCTGGTCCCGCTGGCATTGTAGACTGCTTCTGCCCCAGGTACTGTCACAAAAAGGGGAAGCAAATACGGCCCAGCATCTGGCAAAAGCCCAATCCTGCTTTTCAGGCTCCACAGGTGCAAAACTTCCTCTCGAGCATCCTGTCACCTAGCGAGCTAGAGACTCTGATGAAGGAAAATGCTCTCAAGCATGGCTTCTACTCCACTTCTTGGCCAAGAGCCTCGTCAGCATAGCAGGCTTCTATGGGAACAGCTCTATTGCATGCTAATACAGCTATGCCCGATGAAGATCTCGATGTCAAGACAGACAACATACATATATAGGCCAAGTCGTCATCAGCACAAGTAGTAACACTCACATACTCTACAGCTGACAGACATTAGACATCGAGAATGTTATGGACACCTGATTATCTATTATTTTTTTTCTTTTCCTTTTCTTTCCCAGACTCTCACGTGACTCCGCAATTTCCGTGACTCACAAACAACTCATCCAGTTCCCGCCCTTGTTTATCTCTGTTTATCCTGCCTTTACTATATAAGACCGTGCTCTCGCTTGTAACTTACCTTTAACTTCAATCTAGTCAATCCACCGGCTACCTAGCCACTTATCTTGGTTACCTTGCCCTTGCCTTGTCTGTGTTAGTAAGCAGCCGCCTAGTCATTGCTGACAGAGAAGGACTGATACCGGATCCCGGGACCAAAGTGCAGGCATATTTGCCGGTTGATACTGGTGGCCAGCTTGATCTGGATGACATACCTCCATAGAACTTCTCAAACAACAAGACATATTTTGCTGACCATTATGCTTAGCAGGGTTCACGCCCACCCATACCACATACACGTCTGCCCACACCAGTCCCTAATGAGCACCAACCTGGGCGCATGGCTGTGCCTCCAGTACCTCCAACACAAACTCTGCCTATTCCACCACCTATAGTGCAAGCTCAAGCAGAGGCACCTCTGAATCAATTTTTTCATACCAATCTATTGCGAGACAACTTTGGCCCAGCCAATTTGCGAGACCAATTCAAAATAGAGTGGACTCTGAAACTAGGTGATGGCATCAGTAATGCTACTGTCGAGAACAGCCACATGGATCCAGCCAATATTGAGTGCCTGCGTAATTGCCATGGTTCGGCCGTCACGTGATCCAAGCAATATCTTTATTCTTTTTCTTTTTCTTTTTCTTTTCTTTTCTGTCTCGGCATCTCGGCATCTCGGCATTCCGGCACACGGACTCCGGACTCGCATGACTCACACCATTCACGTATGACTTGGCCCGCTTACACACCCTTCCCTTGTCAGCGGAGCCCGGCTTGCTCAGTCATCCACTTGCTTGTCTGTCTTCGTCATCCCGTTCCCGCACTGCCTTCACCTGTATATAAGACTCTCCCCCCATGTACCCTAGCTCCTTTAGTTCGTCCATCTTGCAATCCACCCTCTGTGGTGTTCTCCTCTGTTCCCCCTGTCTCTGCCATTGCATACCCTCGTGTTGTCACTGGGTTCCTGCGCTTGGTATCTGTCTGTCTGTCCGTCTGA